GAAGATGAAATGTTTTTTGTTGTAAATGGTAGTCTTCAATTTTATGTTGATGGTAAACAATTTTGTGCAAATGCTGGTACAACTGTTTATATTCCACGCTATGTAATACAATCAGTTCGAAATATTAATTCTAAACCAACTCATGTTCAAATATTATTTTTACCATCAGGTAGAGAAGATTTTTTGGAAAAAGTCAGTATTATTAATGACAATCCACCAATTAATGCTACACAAGCAAATCAACTTGCTTTACAATATGGACAAGTTAATTTAGGTGAAATATCAAATTGGGAAGATCTTAATTGTGTATCTTGATGGTAGTGTTCTCGTTCAATTATCTTTTCATTTACTTTTTTCAATGTTTCTGAGTTTTGCTTTTAATGTTTTGTTTTCATAAAAAATAAATTTTAAATAAGACTATCAATTGATTTCAATCATTGACAAGATCGGAACAATGGAAAATTACAAGAAAATGATCGAATCATATATAATCTTCGAAAGACTAAAATGAGATAAAATCGAATAATATTGTCTAAAATACGAAGAAAAAGTTTCATCAATATATCGGATAATCAAAAGTAAAGAAACATAGAACTTTTTCAATTTCTTGTTTCTACATGATGGTCAGTTAGGCTTCATATTTATAAGACATATACTCGATGATGTTGGTTCAAAATATAACACATATTCAGTCTTTCGATGTAGTAATTTGCTCCAAAGCGTACAAATAAATCTTACTGCTCTTTTGTTTGTGACTCTAAGAAAGATTCGATGTTTGTTGAATCGCATAATTTTGTTTCCTTATCCTGATCTGTGAAATGAATACCATTTAATTGATTTTGATTTTTTTTAAGCTAAATCAGTACAAAATATAATTAAATCCTATTCATTTCATACATTGGGATAAGCAGACAAAACTATAAAACTCGCAAAAAATCGAATTTCTCTTACGGTCACAGACGACTAGTAAAATTTATTTGTACGTCTTTGAACAAATTAGTACATCTAAAGACTGCTATACTTTTGACTAGTATCTATCAGTTTATATGATATAAATACGAAATCTAGCTGATCATGTATAAAAAAAAAATCGAGAAAACTCTGTATACCCTTTCTTTTGAGACACCCTACATATTTACTTGTACATTAATCGAAGATTTCTTTTATCTGTAGTAAAAGAACATCGATTGTTTTTTAAAAATAATTCATTTAAAATACGCCCAAGTGCAATATCTCGCCCGATGCCTATTTAGATAAGATCAGTAAACTCAGCTAAATTCAGTTTATAATCACTATTTTTATCAAATTTTCGAATATGATGAAGGAGCATGTATATATATTAGCATCAAGTACGAGAACGGGCATAACAGCCAGTAATTCAACAATATTGATTGCACCTGAGAAATCAGCATCTAAACAATGAAATGTTCCGGGTACATCATTAGCTGCATTTAGAACTATCATGAATGGTTTTAAAACTTTGACAAATTGATCAAATGGTAATGTTAGTTTTTATATTGTAGCTGCTAATCGTTCATGATCTGACTGTTCCACTAATACGTGATAATTACGTTCATGACTATATTGGTGAATAGTTTCCTTTACTCGAACAGCAAATTGATTTCTCATGTAGGAGAAAAGTGAAAAAAATTCACTTTTCAGTGCTTGCAATGTTAATGAAGTCAAATAAATTAAATTTTCTCAGTATTTTTTCACTTTTTCTACCTAGGTCAATCGATATTGCTATCCATATTTTCACCGTAAATTTGCTTCATACGGCACCGTATACCGGGCCATATTTTCACAGTATAAAGTCGTATACATGCCGTAATCTTATTATGATAGGGCCGTATACTGCATCCACCCATATGGTCGTATACGATCTGCTTAGGCGTTGTAAAATAACCGTAAATGGCCGTATTGTTCGATCTAGGTAGTGGAATTTAGGACTGTTTATTCTTTCAGATGTACTTAATAGTACTGTTTCAAATCATGAAGACCTTATTTTATGCAAAATATTCAAAAAATTGTGCGAAAATGGTCTATCATATTGATGAAATTTTTATTTTAAGATGCCTCTTTGAAAGAAGAACTCAAGGTTTATAGCATAAGAAATAATTTCAATGATTTCCTTCTCTCATCATATTGCTGAGTAAAATAAAATTGTGTATCTGCTCGATCAAGTAGTATGGAAGTTGGTTGATTTTTGAGCAAATTTTCTGAGTTATTGTCAAAGTTTCATCGGAAAGACAAGCCATTTTAATACAATTTTTTGGATGTTTTGAGGAAATCATTGGTTTTGGAATGATTTTGTCCTATATATTATTATCGGAGACAAGGATGTTTCCATGTCTTCTCGACTTATTCAATTTTTAATCGCGTATTTTTAACTCTTACGTCGACATAAATGATAGTGTCTTATGATAGATGATCTAGTATGTACTATAAACGATGACGGGCTACACACTGAGCTCAATATATATTCACATTATACTTAGACTATTCCATAATGTCTACATGTGTAACACATATATTGGAATAATATTTACACTAGAAATCTTAATTTCAGTATATCTAACGGTTTTTTCTCTTAGTCTAATTTTGAAACTGTTTATATATATATATGACCTTGGTCTCCATAGGATTAAGTAGAAGCTTGATGCATTTGTTTCTGTGTTTCTTTTTGTTCTGCAGTCATCACTTTTTGCATACCCTAATATATATATACACGGTTAGTTATTAGCAAAGACGACATAGAACGAGAAAAAGGGTGAAGCAAGAGTAAAAGGAGAAAATACATCGAAGACAATATGATCTAATGTTATCGGCACATATCATAAGAAACAGTTCTAATCGAAATTCTTTTATTATGATATCAGTTGAACAATGATTAAACACTATAAAAAAAAGAGCATTATTTTTACTATAACTGCACATATAAAGAGAAAGTTCCCTCAAGTTTTCTATAAAGAAATAAAATATTTCCGCCACTACTTTTGAATAGTTGTAAGTAGGAGAACCTCGGTTGTGGGTTGAATGTCTCAATAAAGAAACTGTTTTAGAAGCTGAAAGCTTAGGTATTTTCATAATCGACATGAGACTACACGCAGCCAAAATTTATTTGAAATCAGTGACATCAATTGAGCATATAGTTCACATTTGGGACTTTTCTATTGTGCAATAATTCATAGAAGTATGAGAACTATTATTTAAACCAGTGATGAAATAAATTATCTAAAATTTCCGTTCAAAATCTCGTTATTTATTGATAAGACGTGCAAGAAGAAAGTTTTGAATATTTTTTAGAAGCGTGCTCTGTGAAAACTTTTTTCTTTTTTTTTCCTACACTCTATTAAAAGAAAGATATTTTCCATTTGCAAAAAACTTGCGACATCTTCCCCTTCCATCAATGCCGACTACTTTAAGCCACTCCTGAGCTATAGAATACTATCATCAGAGTATATTTTCGAAAGCATCATATAAAAAAAAAATGATTATTCATTTCCCAAGTTGATCATTCCGACCATCTGAAACGACGCATTAAACTGCCTAAAAACAGTGGAAAAACGGCGTGATTACTGCACTAAACGATGAAAAGCGACTACCGTTTTTGATCGTTTTCCGTCAGCGTGAGTAGCGATGAGCAGTGTTATGATAGTATTCTTGTAAAATAGTGTTTTATTTAGACCGGTTTTTCTTGTTTACGACTTTATTTATCTTTTTGCCGTCTGAACTCAGTGAAAAGGAGCACGATGTTTCGTCCCTTTGTCATCTTCCGTAAATACACAAGAAACATAATTTATTTGTTTAATTAAAATACTCACTATTAAATACTTCATTGAGATGAATCTAAATAAAAATAATAAGTTTATCTAAATAAAATAATTAATGCTAAATATTTCAATAAGAGAAATCTAAATGAAAAAAAAAATCAAGATACTCATCTAAACAAAACACTTACTATTGAATATATTAATGCGAAAAATGTAAATAAAAAAATAAATATATTTACTTTAATAGAATTCTTACTGTTGAATAATTCAATGAGAAAAATCTACAAAAATAAATAAATATATTTAAGCAAGTACTTACTATTGAATATATCAATAAGATAGGCCTAAATAAAAAAAAATAAATGTATCTATTTAAATAAAATACTTACTGTTACATATCTCATTAAGATAAATCTAAATGGAAAAATAAATATATTTATTCAAATACAATACTTACTATTGAATTAGATGGTGAAAAGAATCTGAATAAAAAAAATATGATTTTTTTAAAATTGGTAATGACCAATCGATTATAGATTACTAGAAAGCATCTACTGATGATTTTAGGACACTTTTTGAAATGATGAAAAACGGTAAGCAAACGACAAAAACGGCGGCTGTAACGACAATCGTTTTTCACCGTTTTCCAGTCGTTTAAGACAGTTTACAAGCCCTTCTATACGACATGGATTGCAATATGTCCAGAAAGAACATGTTTTTCGTCATTTTTGTATACTAGCTATATTATGGGCTATCTCTCTTGAGGATTCAAATATGTTTCAAACTATTGAGAGCCTATCACTGATAAAAGGCGTTCATATGTGGGCTCAGTCATTCACATTACATTACCACTGTAGTAACAAATGAATACTTATGCAAAAAAAGCAACATTTTTTCATAAAAATGAGTTTCAGTTGGATTTGAAAAGCACAGTCAGAACATGTATCAGTTATTTATTTTTGCTCTTAATAGGTTTTTCTTCAACCAACCATATTGAATCTGTTCGAATGGAAATCACTGATCAATCGCATAGTTTCCTTTGTGAAACACCATCTAAAAAGAGTATTAAAGTGTATACGGTAGAAATTTACACACGCACTCCGGCCTTCCTTACAGATCTTAAGACACATTTTAATTAATAAAATAATTAATTTACTAATTACTCTTAAATTAATGAATTGCCTATCACAGACGGTGACAAACCGCTTAAAAGAACTGTGCGAGATCACGTGTAACTAACATTCAATTAGAATATATGTGGAGTATTTCCTTATTGAATTTCTTTCCTGTAACATAAGCGGTGATGTAAAAATATGCCTCAATATACATAAACAAACACCAGTTTTTATGGCATAAGGAACAAAAGCTACGTCGTGTTTTCCATCTTAATCTCACAGGAATTGTGTTAACAGTTGTCGTTTTAAACAGATTCCATTTACATCAATTAGAGATAAACATTAGTAATGGACACCTAACGATATGTAGAATTTAAAATGATCCTAGTTTCTGCTACTCATACCAAATCTAGTAAATTTCAGAGATGAGTTTTGCAGAATGTACATCAACCTTCTAATATTCATTTTGATTTTGAATGAAACACCTAAGAACTAGAATAGGACTAAAAGTATGACGCGAGATGGAGAGTGCAAGCTTCCGCATCCTAACTATGACTTCTTTCCAGTAAACTTAACATCTATTATATACTGTCATTAAATAAATCAATGGTTTTAATAAATTTCCGCACAATAGATCTTCATAGCTATTGTCTAATTATAAGGAAAGATAGATTTCTATGCAGAAAACATACAGTTCATATGAAGCATATCAAACTTTTAGATGTGATTTTCTGTGTTGCAAAAAGAAGAATATTCTTCTTACTAATACAACCTTTCTTTTTTTTGATGAAATACGATCTACATTCTTTCATCAAAAACTATAATAGAAAATAAATATCAAATAAGAACTCTTATCAACGATTTATGGGACAGAGAATCGCCGAATTTAAAAACTATCATTAAGAGTATAGAAAAGCATGATATGTTTTACCCGACATAGTAAGGAACTCATTAGTTATTTTGTTCTTAGAGCTGTATTAAACGTTGAATCAAAAGATATATGGACAATATTATTACTCGTTTTCCATTCCGTTCTTATCTTCATTGCAGTGTTCCATATTTTCAAAGTGACCAAAATTCTAAGAATTCATCTTCTTTTTTTATGAAACATATAGAATATGAAAAATTTTCTTTTTTAAACAGTTACCGCTTTTTATTTTTCTACAAACCAAGAAGTTTTTTTTGAATTCACAAACATATATCAATCAAAAAAGTATGATTGAAATTTATTTTCAATCACATTTACAAATACAATGAAAAACAAATAGAATTATTCAATTAGAAGAGTTTCAATGTTAAGATCAAAACTAAAGGATAAATAAGAAAACTTGTTAAAGTCATCGACTTAGCATGATTACAAAAATTTGATTGACAACACCATAAACCATTGCCATTTACATTATCTTGAACACACCATTCAGACACATCTCGATCGATGACGGTTAATATTGATGATTTCTATTTTATTATGAAATAGTTAAGATTTTAATAAAAATAAATAAATTAAATTACTCGGCAATAATATCCTTGATTAGCAGGCACTGTTACCGTTGCTACATTATTGGAGTTAAATGGTTCATCACAATCAATACATGTGTAACAAGTAAGTGTATCATTTGTCGGAACTATATTTTAAAAAAATTCGCATAATGTTTAGAATAAAATAAAGTGTTTTTTGTTCCTAAACTAAGTATATTTTTTTCCAATAATTACCTGTGAGTGTTGTTGTTGTTGTTGTTGTTGTTGTTGCTTTCGACGTAAATAAAGATCCTATAGTAATAGAGAAAAAGTTAGCTTTTAGATGTTGTTTTCATATTACCATTGTCATCAATATTTCCATTTATATCGATGGAAATTTTATAAGGACCAGTAATATTAGTTTTATTTAATTTCAAAGATGATATGGTAACATTTTTTTCTTTATATGAGTAAATGGCATTTGTAGTTCGTGTAATAAATGTTCCACCAGTATAAACAATAATTGATGTATTTATATGAAATCGAAAACCATTTTGCGTTGAATCTTGAAATGTCCCGCCGTTATAAATATAAAAAGTCATTGAATAATAAAACATATAACTTTCCGAAGAAGATATTTCAAAGAAACCATATATATGAACATCAACAGCATTTATTGTCGATTGATTATTATATCTTGTTACTTTGAAACCAGCTGGAATAATCAAAACACATCCACCATCAGTTGGTGAACATCGATCTAATGTAGGTAATAATCCACCTAACCAAGTAGCATTTAGTCCAAAGTCACCTGATTGATAAGGAAGAAATGTTATTGCTACAAGAAAAAATATTCAATGTCTAATTTTCGTTTTAATCTAAATTCTATTTACATGAATAATTTTGAATTGTTCCTTGTAAATCAACTGTTAGTGTATATGGACCATAAATAGTTGAACTCAATATAAGAGTTGAATTAGTTGAAGTTGAAATAATTTTCGTTGATTGTGAAGAATAGAATGAAGCATTTCTATAAATAGTTATTATTGAATTTGATAAAATAAACCATGTATGATTTGAAGTTAAATCTTCTAATAATCCTCCATTAAATATCATTATATTGATTGAATATGAAAACTTAAATGATGTTGTTAAAAATGAAATATTTGGAGAACCGATTTGTAATTTTCCATAAATTTTAAATGATTGAATATTGACATTCAAATATGATTCATTACTAATATAGACAGTAATATTTGAAGGAATTATTACAGTTGAATTATTTTGTGGTCTAATATTATTACTCCATGTATTTATAGAATTAAAATCACCCGATTGATTAGCAATTATTATATTTGAGTCTTCAAAAGAAATTTTTCTCGTTATATTTGTTATATACAATATATTTAATCTCTACTGACCTGTCAATGACTGTATTTCAATTGATAACACTACAATAAACATAGAAAATGATTAATATATGAACAAGCAGTAGTGGCCCAAACTTTCGAACTTTGGAAAGCACGAGGGGAGAGAAAATTTTTAACTGAGATAGTGTATGTGAAAAAGAACAATAGATTTCTAGTTGATTGTTCTGTTTTTTAACCATAGAAAATATAGTTCAATAAATGTTACTACTCAGAGGAAGTGTAAATTAGAAAGAAGAATGATTCACCCAAAAATATCATCGTTTTCAGCAGTGTCATTTTCTATGGTTAGATATATTGCAACAATTTTTTTCGACTCAGAAATACTTTATAAAATGAAAAATACTCAGTTTTCATCTTCATTTCTTTTGAGAAAGAAAATTGTCTTCGTATGGAAATCAAAACTTCTTAAAATTAATTTTTCAGTCTTTAAAATATGGTTGCGCTGATACTGTTGATACTATTTACCAAAACGAAAATTTTTTGTCGACTGGAAAAAATCTTGCTTTTATGTCGTTACTTTCCAACAACAAAGCCATCGTCAAATGTAACATATGAAGTTTATGAAAAAGTTTTCGCTGTCCTAGGTAGACGAACTCGTAATGGTTGTTCAAAAACGAAGTTCTTCACACGTAAAAAAACTCCATAAAAAATTGGTGAAACGATATATCACGACTCCTTAGGTAAGTTATGATTGTATAGCCGTTATATTTTGGTAAAGCGAAAAAATTTTGATTTCACTTTATATCTTATTCAATCAGATCATATTTAATCGAGTAGTTTTTGGAAAAGAATTAGCAAAGCCTTACTTCATTTTTGTTTTCCAATCTTTCTAACTGAAGAAAATAACGAAATTTTCAACTATTGGGAAGCGATACCACGTACCTCTTGGTAGAGCTACTACTGAGAACAAGCAAGGGTTATAATAATTTTAATTAAGAAGAAAAGATAAAATATAGTTTTAACGTTTATGAATTTAAAATAATAACAAATCATATTCGGCTTCATATGATCGATATATTATAAAAATTTCAGACTCTCAAGTCAAATCGTTGTTCATTTTTTTGAAAGGATACCAAATGAGAACTGTCTAACAAATAACTTACATAAAAGACAAACGACAATATATAAGCTGTTAGTATCCATTCGTTCACCTGTCACTTTGATATCTCGTGAAAAATATTCAAATGAATAAATCAAATGATTCTCTCAGTCTTATTATATCGATCGAATTAGTAAGAGGTTCTTTTTTTTCTATGTAGATCTTGACATAAAATCGAAACGTGTTGTTCGTCATCACTTCCTTTATTTACTCTGCGAGTGAAAATTTTATTCATTGACTCATACACCATCGGGCATTCAATTTTTACGTCATTTATAAAAGTGGAGGAAAAATATTGTTGACATTCTTTGAAAAGTCAACGTTTACATGATGTGGTCCGCGATTATATTCTATTTAGTTGGATTATCAACCATATATTGTATGAATATCGATCTTAGTAAGAATATTAAAAGTTTTTTTCTCTTTCTCTAACAGAAATATCACGAAATCATTTTTGTTTTATTTTCGAAGCCGTGGAAAAAATAGATTCAATAGAGATGTCCGAAAAAAATCTTTCTTCATTTTCGAATATGAATTAAAATCTAAAATATTTTATTGCTAATAGATTACAATCAATATCAAATTCTCTTAATTATGGAAAAATAATTCCATCATTTTCTGTTCAACCAAATGAAGGTGAACGTCTTCAAGTATTAGCAGTTGCTAATTCTGAACGAATAATTAAAATACGTGGAAGTCAAACAGATGGAAGAATAATGATAATGGAAGGAGAAATTTTAGTTGGAGAAGGTCCACCAATTCATATTCATCATCGTGAAGATGAATATTTTCATGTTTTACAAGGTGAACTTGAATTTCAAGTTGGAGATCAACGAATTTTAGGAACAGCTGGTACATGGGTATATGCACCACGTTATATAAAACATCGATATCGAAATATTAATTCAACTGGTGCAAGATTACAATTTGTTTTTCAACCAGCTGGTATAGAACATTATTTTGAAGAAGTTAGTAAAGTTATTGTTGCACAACAACCAGACTGGCAAAATCAAGCAGCTGCTGTTGCTAAAAAATATGAAATTGAACTTCTTGGAACACCAGATTGGACTGGATAATTATATGGAAGTCATTTTTTTTTGTATTCTTTCTTACATAATTTTTAAATAAAAAGTAATCTGCAGCAAAAAAAACAACAAGATTATATAATGACAGAGGATTATTTAACATTCTAAGCTTTTCAACATTTATTTATATATTTTATTAAACGAATTTATTCAGATTAAATAAACAATTGAATCTGGATTTAATTCTTTTACAAATAATCATTACGATCAGAAATACGATAAGTCTTGTTTTTGTTTTTTCTTTGTAAAAACAAGTCTCTTATTTTGGCATTCCGAATCAAAATAAGCAATGCATTTTCATAGTGGCTCATTCATATATTTAGTTGCAACAGATTTTAATTTAGAACTTCAATTTGTCATTTCTTACCCATGATCATATTCACATGATATTTTTTTTACAGATCTTTCACAAATTCTAGAAACAAGATATTTTTATATTTTGACAAAAGTTTACAATTAATATTAACAAAAAATACAAAGCAGAATAACTAATAATATTCATGAAACATATAAAGATAATATATTTAGAGAAGCTTCGTTCATTTCTTTATATTTGATAGATTCTTGATCTCCAACGATTAGAGAGAATCCTCTATAGAATCGATATATGTTAGAATATTTAGTTTTTATTCTTCTTACATACAATTTCAGTCATAGTATATGTATTCTACTTTGGATGATAATCATCTGATAGAAAATATACTGTCGTGCTACTAAATGATATAACCGAGACATTTTTTATTTTGAAAATATTGGGTCAAATTTTGAAATTCTGCTGAGATAGTTAACAAATATTTAAACTTCTGCTTTTTGTTGTTGTAAGCTTTGAGAAAGACCCAAGTTTAATCATGAAGAAAACTAATTGCTCTCGTTTAAGGAATAAAGAAAAACTATTCTCTGTTATTTCATTGTATCAAAAAAAACATAATAGTATATTATAGTTCCTAGGATTTCGATTTACAAGCATGATATTGACAGAAAAGTTTATGCGAGCTGTGATAAATTCAGTAAATGCATTAAAAAAAATGATATCTTTGATATTTTTTTCTCTTTCGGCATGCGATGTTTCCTTTGACATTGAATATATTATTTGTTCCCTTAAATGTTAACAAATTAGACATTGATAGAGTTAAAAAAATGTCTGACAGGAAAATCAGCAATCGATATTTCCTTTACTTTTTACAGTACAACATCACAGAAAAATATATTCATCGTACAATATAGATTTACCAAGAAGAGAAATAACAATAAATTTAGAAAATTTGAGAAGTTAAATTGAAGTATATAGAAATACCTAAAGAATGAATGAAATACACATATTAAATAAAATATACGAAGTGTTAGTTATAATTTATTAATTTTTTCTTTGTGTGATATTTATGTTATAGTTATAATTATTACGATGGTATTGGAAAATATTTTGAGATAAACCACTGTATCCAACAGATGAATATGAGCAACATATCAAGACGCATACGAAATTCTAACACCAAATTTCTTCTATACTCTTGAATGATTGGACATTTGTAATCTGTAGAAGTATGGTCTCCTTTGATGTGATGACATTTAATTCATCATCTTTTATGATCATCTGTATTATTTCTGTTCTTTCTCATATCGTCCACAAATGGCAATTAATCAAGAAGAACAAATCGTTTTTATATGCTCTGGTTGTTTGCATTTGATACATACGAACAATTTTGGGAGCAGAAAGATATTCGTCAGCATCATATATTTGTGCATAAATTGTAATTTTTTCATGGTTTAATATTTCATCATATTTCTTTTTGATCTGTAAGATGGACAGGTATATGATGATTACGTTCGTTTGAAGTTTCTAATATTTCTAGCATTACGCCAATTGACTTACATCTTTTATCTAAATTATTTTTCAGTTCGTTAAAAGATATAGCATTTTTTATCCATTTCAATATTGTAGATCGTTTTGGTGATAAATGCTTTGATGCATTCGGAATAATTTTTATATTATTTATTTCTGTTGGGCATCTCTCTTCTCTACACAAATACATATATAGATCTATGGTTTTTGTTAGAGGCTGTATATTTCTATCTTTATTAATCAATCACACATCGAAATCTAATATCCTACATTGTGTTCTTTAATTTCAGATTCGAATTATAATTTCAGAGATTGAAGATGATTTTCTACTGCAAATTTTAATGCTTGTTGTAATGCTTTTATTTGGTTATTTATTATTACAGCTATTATTATTGTTTTTTAATAATAATGATTGATGTTGTCGTTGAAATGGTTCTGATCTCTTGAATTGTAATTGTTATTATTAATATTTTCCTTTAATGAATTCCTTTTTTTCGTTCATTTTCTTTCTAACTGTGTGATTCATAACTTGCTGATATTTCGTTTTGTCATCACACATTGAATCTATCAAAGAATAATTGCTCTTCAAATTGTATATGATTTGTATTATATCGTTTTCATGTTGTTGATTATTTATTTATTTCTTGATAATGCTTAAATTTGCAGAATTTTCTCTTCTGAATCTGTTCCATCATACAGTCTATTCTTTTGTGCTGCATTCATCTTGTTATAATTGTCATATGTCATTTTTAGTATTGCATTTTAATTAATTTTAATTTTATGTGACTAACGATACGCTGCTCACGTGTAAATACACCTGTACATATACATTTAGTATCTGTCCAATACAGAAAGGAAGAACGAGAACACCTCCTTACTATACAATACGAAAGAAAGTCATGACAATATACCACGTTGATGAATACGAAATGACTAATAAACTCATATTGAAATATGATTTTCATAATAAGGAAAGGAAGTGACATTGAAAGAGCAATTTTAGATATGATGTTACTACTGACATAGAAAAAAACAACGTCAGACTCATTCGGTCTATATTTAAGGACTGAGAAAATTATTCGATTTATTCATTCGAGTATTTTTCATAATAGATCAAAATTACCTGTCAACGAATGCATATTAACATTTTCTGTATCACTGTTTTCTTCTTTCTAATAATTAACTGTAAGTATTGCAATAGTGCCTCATATTTAGAAAATCAAAGATGATTTCATCTTCTTCACATTATTTCTCCTACTCAATATCTCTCATTTTTCGATATATATTCTGCATTCCTAAATTTCCTAGATATGTGTGTTCATCTGTAGAAGTTTATTTAATGATCAATACATACTAAAATAAAAATGTGTCGTATATGTCGTGCTTTGCGACACAATGTACGACATATCTAAATAAGACATGAAAAACTCGTTGCGACATATTTTGTCCAGCGACTGCACGATACATTCTGAAAAGTGATTCGAATCTAGTGTGTAGCGCGTATTTTTTCTGTAAAAGAAAATTCTGATATTTTTTTCAAATTTTTGCCTTTTGATTATTCATATTTTGAATACTCTAGCAAGTCAGATCTTGAGATCTGTTCGGGCTCGAGTTGGTCCCATGTTCATCATACCGCTTTAGAGTAGTTCTCTCTCGCGACACTAAAATAAAATGCGTCACGTTTATGTGTTGTGAATTATTGTGTCGTGTACAAATTTGTCGCGTTCTGTCTGCTCACTATTCATTCACCATTTTGTTGCGCAATACGCTGTTATATCCTGCTTGAGTTTTCAAAATGGAAAAAATTAAATGGAATTAAAATGAAAAAAAATGCCATGATACGCTTTTACAGAAAAAGAATGAAAAATGCGCCGGATAATAGGTTCAAACCACGTTTTCAGAATGTGTCGCAACGCGCACCTCGTGTGGTGCTTTAGTGTGTCGCAAATCAGGACCCATGTAACACACTTTATTTTAATGTGGACCATTTGTCGAGATCGGTATGTGGATTCGACTAATAATTAATCAAGAAATTTCTGAGAAAAAAACATGTTAAAATGAATAAGTTCGTTGTGCCCAATAGAGTCAGTTAAATGAAGGTGTGCGCATGAAAGAGAACGGTGAATGAATAACCAGCACACAGAACAAGATAAAATCATAATGCGACACAGATTTTTGTAGTGGAGTCCACGATTCTATAACGAACGACACATAAACGGCAACACGTTTTATTTTAGTGTGTACTTTAAAAAGGAGTCCTTGTATATTCATTATTAATAAAATAATAAGTTATTGATCTTTATGATTTTATAAATAGCTACACAATCCGATTCTTATGCCGCTGTTGAACCAAATGGTGGTCAAAAAGTTCACGCATTACCATTTCCAAATGGTTTCTATAGAATAATCGTTCGTGGAAATCAAACAAATAAACAATTAACAGTTATAGAAGGTTTAGTGTATATTAATGAAGGAGCTCGACTACATTATCATATGTATGAAGATGAAATGTTTTTTGTTGTAAATGGTAGTCTTCAATTTTATGTTGATGGTAAACAATTTTGTGCAAATGCTGGTACAACTGTTTATATTCCACGCAATGTAACACAATCAGTTCGAAATATTAATTCTAAACCAACTCATGTTCAAATATTATTTTTACCATCAGGCAGAGAAGATTTTTTGGAAAAAGTCAGTATTATTAATGACAATCCACCAATTAATGCTACACAAACAAATCATCTTGCTTTGCAATATGGACAAGTTAATTTAGGTGAAGTATCAAAATGGGAAGATCTCAATTGTGTATCGGAGGGTAGTGTTGTTGTTAAATTATCTTTTCATTTACTGTTTTTAATGTTTTTGAGTTTTGCTTTTAATGTTTTGTTTTCATAAAAAATATATTTTAAATAAGACTATCAATTGATTTCAATCATTGACAAGATCGGAACAATGGAAAATTACAAGAAAATGATCGAATCATATATAATCTTCGAAAGACTAAAATGAGAT